ATGTACATATCGTCCAATAACGGTGCAAAACTTGACTATTTGGAGTTAAAAATTTGTTTTGGTTTTGTTTTTGAAGGCTATTTTCGAATTCACACGTGTTTCTGAAATCTGCTTTACATTTAACAACGGCTTTTTTCTTTCTTTCCCTTTTTTATGCTGAATTTTTTTCTTTTTTTTTTTTGTTAGTTATAAGTTATGGTTATCGTTATCAGAAAAAGCTTTTTTTCTTTTTGTTTTATTTTTACACATGATTTTTTTTTTTTTTTTTGTAGCAAAATAGTGGGCACTTTTATAGTCGTCTATATTACTGGTTTACAGAGCTATTTGATGGAAATTTTTAGATTCTTCAAATTCAGCTGTGTAAGTTAACATCTTTATCTGTTTCTTTCTTTTGCAATATTTGCATTTGTTTATGTGTTCCGCTTCTTTTTTTTTCAGCACTTTCAAGTAATATTTTGGGCCTGGAAGCTTCGAAAACTGAAATTGTAAGTTACAACTTTTGTTTTTCTGCTTTCAAATCAAGTAGGTTTTTCGTTCTTTTTTTCAATTTGCTTATTCTTATTTGGGGATAGGGAGGGGGGCACCTTAAAGATGTACTCGGAGGCTTTAAAACATCGCTATAGTTAGTTTTAAAGGCGAGGGTTGTTCATTGTTTGCCGTTTTTCCCAAACACTTGTGAAAACGAATGGCTTTAATTGATCAAATTATGTCGTGTTGTTGGTTTTTATTTTAAAAAAAATTTGTTCGCCAATAGTTTTTTTTTTTTGCCTTATCTTTCCACATAGTTTGACTTAAGCATTACTGATTAGCTTAAAGAAGAAAAAAAGTAGATTTAAATTTTGTTAAATTATATTTTTTTTTTCTGTTCCAAACATGTTTTATGTTATTTATTTGCTTATTTGTTCTTTACACTTATTAAACTGATTGAAGGATATTGTTTTCTGTTTGAGGTGCCAGGCATCTATCGATTGTCACTTGATTAAAGCAGTTAATCGCGAAACTTACTGATGGTTAATATCAATTTGTCATGAATGGATTTTTAAATTTTTTCTGATACCAGTTAAAATTAGATTTTTTTTTATAGAGGGACAGTTGTGGTGTTTGAAAAAAAAAATGAAAAATGAAGGAGATTAAAATTAAACGCAAAACTTCGTATCATTTGACGCAAGAAAAGGTTATGAACAGCTATTTAGGTTTAGAAAATTTAACTACCAAACTGTGCATCAAAGAATTTGTGTCTGCAAAGGTTGAATTTTACCAGTTTTTTTGAATCTTTTAGACGAAGAGAATTGGTAACTAATCCGCATTTTAGTTTGAAGTAAGCTGTTAAACAAATAATTTTTAGATTGCAATCTTACGTCACCTAAATTTTTTTTTTCTTTTTGAATTTATTGCCGAAGTATGCCTTTTTCATTTTTTTTATTTTCATTACTCTTTTCTTCTTTATTGACTCATTTTTTCTGTTCTGTTCTTTACTGTTTATTGTCACTTTTTTTCTGGATTACAATAATGAGTAATTTTTGTGCTAAAAGCAAAAAAAAACATTAGTTTTTTTTCTGCTTAGTATTTTTACAGTTATTCGGAACTGTTTTTTTTTAAAACGATTCTTATCTTTTTGCGTTAAGTTTTTTACGATTTGCTTGATGCGATCAAGTAGATTTTTTTTTTTTGTTCTCTTATTGCTTTTCTAGCACTTTTGCCTATTTTACAGCGATTGTGTTTTGGTGCCAAATTTTAACTAATCTAGCGAAAGTTTCACCGATAGGATCGATGGAAGGAGAAGAAATTATTTTTTCAGCATATTTGCTCTCAATTGATTCTTCGTTTATTTTAGCTTTTACTTCCATTCGGTTTGTTGATCTATCGTTTTTGCCATTTTGCCATGCGTTTGTCGCTCAACAGCGTTGCACTTGTACCAGTGAATCTAGAAACATTAATATTTCAGGTTTTTTGCGGTTTTTTGAGGGAATCCTTTCCTGTGAAAACTAGCTTCACTAGAACTTTTGGCCTAGTGCGTTCAAATGTGTTGAAATTGCTTCAACGTTATCAGGTAAATAAATCTCCTTTTCTTTGCTCACTGGAGTCCTGAAGTTATTGAACTTTCTTCCACACTTATTTGAGAACGCATTGTACCACAAGAGATGTTGTACCTGTCAGCTTAATAGTTTACACTGCTTGTACGACCAGTTATTGAAGTTTTCACCATTGCTTCGCACTTGTCTTATGAATTATTAATTTTTTAGTTTAATTTTTAACAGAACTTTGTTAGTAATATAAAATTGGATAAAGAGGGGGAAGAAGAAGAGGGAAAACTGTTGAGACTAGTTTTTCATTTGCATCTCGCTTAAAATTATTTGACCTCTGCGTATATTTTTTTCTAATTATATTTTTATAGAGAGCATATTTTGCAAAACTTTACACTAGTATCAGTTGATACTTGTTCGTTTCTGTTGTTTCATTCTGATTATTTAAGTTTTTCAATAAGTCGGCGGCTTGCTTTTTTTTTTTTTTTTTTAAAAAGAACTCATTAATATCTCTGCAGTTTTTTGAAATTTTTTTGTTTAATCATTTTAAAATTTTTTTGTTTTTTGAACCTTCATTAATAGTGGTTTGGTTTAAGATCATTTTGACCTAAAACACGTCTTTGAAAATTTCTAGATGGTTTTAGAAGTACTGTTAACTTATGGCCTCATTTCGTTCAGGTAGGAATCTCTCATTATTCTCATTTCAAGGAGCAATGTCTTTCGGTGGTTTGTACGAATGTGCTTTCAAAAATGCTGCGCTTAAACGGTTTCCGTCTACGAAGATCGAACGATCAAATTCAGTGAAAGGTAAGTGTGATTTTACAAGCAGCACGCTTTACTCTGTGGAGGGAGTAGAAAAGTGTAAACTAACTTTTCACTTGTATTTGATCACTAACTCATTCATTAATTGGTTATATTTTTGAAGGAAAAAATGGTGATAGCGATTTGGTTACTCTTGATCAAGTGATGAACAGGGCGCGCTATGTGGTTTTTTATTTAATTAGTTCGAGTGGAGGTCGGGCAAACGAACTTATAGCTGCTTTAAAACGTCTGCAAGATATTCGTAATGGAGAGTGTTCTGACGGCAATAAAACGTAAATGCGTATTGTTTAGTATGAAGTATTATTACGTCTATAATTTTTTTTTTCATATAAGACGTGTAGTAAAAACTGGCAATATTTTCAAATGAAGTTGAAAAGATTTCTGGGTTCTAATGTACTTAACTTCAGCTCACCTGCGCGGATACGTCGCTTTTTCGGGGTCGGGCACAAGAGCAAAAAGAAGAAATTGTTGGAGACTAGGGAAGTTGACGTCATTGTGGTTGATGTTGATCCACCAAATGAAAATCAGGACTATTCTGGCTTTGTGGATTCAGGGTGGTTTACTTTTGTGCCGATGACGCCTATGAATAAGGTAATCGAAATCGTAACTAGTGTAATTGAAAAACAGTTAGTGATTTTTTTTGCACGTTGTGGTATCTCCAAACTTCCTCGTTTTTTCTTCTTAGAGCAGACTTCTACGATCTCTCAAATATCAGTTTACACCTTCCGTGTTGGTCGTTGATACAGCCACTCGGCACTTAGTTTGTGGTGACGGACGGCGAATAATAGTGGAGGATCCTAGCGGGAGCAATTTTCCTTGGTAAGTTTTT